GCCTAACGACAATTAATACGCGATCGCCGCTGCAGATACAGTAAACAAGGTAATGGCGAAGTATAATTCACTGTCGTCTTCATGGCTAAGGCGTTATCGCAAAAAAAATTTTTTTTCTCAGACTTACGGCGAAATCGCGAGAGAGATTTAGTGGCACAGAGCACCGAGTACTATTATTACTTCTTATAAATTGCATCTTTACCCCCAACAGATGTGCATTATTAAGCTGTCTGATGAATTTCGTCTTGTGTGTGGCTGTAAGTATTTATGCAAATTGTACGTACTGCCATCAAGCGTTAACAGAGCGATCCATTATTGCTTTACGACTATCATTATTAATATTATCGTAATTTTTATTTTATATTCTCACGGCCCGCCGTGATTAAACTTGTCATCTCAACGAGATTGATCTTCAACAAGCCAAATTGCATTCCACATCAGTTGTAATTGATTTTGTTGCGAAATATTGAATTTCCACACGATAGTAATTAAATTTTGAAGAAAAAGAAACAGAAATTTCATTTTAATAAATATTTTGACGAATGCCAAAACTCTTTCGCTGCACTATTCATCGCTTTATTCGCGAAACAAGAAATAGTTAAAAGGTCTTCTCAGAGTAAATATGAAATAGTACGTCGCACGGCGAAGCGGTTCACCCCGAAGAGAGCCTCGCCTCTATCTCGATTCAAGGTCTCTTTTCCCTCCGTCTACCTCTTTTTTCTCTTTCCTCTCCTCTCTTCCTGCTTTCCTCTCCCCCCGTTCACCGGCGATAAGCACCCTTTGACCTTTCAGTTAAGTTATTACTTTTATCCGGCGCGGGTCACACAGGGCATAAAGGCTCGTTGAGCATCGAATCGACTCTATCAGTCCAATTAAGCGGCGTGCCGGCCGCGCGAACAATTGCGAAACTGCGTCCCGATCCTAGCCCCCGCGTTCACAAGGGCACCCTTGCACCCTTCGCCCGCTTTGTCGCGAGCTTTTTTATATTTCTCGCGTGAGATACGGAACTAAAGAGCCGGCGCGCGCGCGACGCAGACCAGGCTCGTGAATTACACGAGAAACATTGTCGGCCGACGCTGTCATTACGCGGTTTTTCCCTCGTCGCGAGCCACCGTAAGTCTGCCGGCCCACTCGCTGTCGGTCTCGAGCTTTCCGCGAGCGGAATTACGGGGCCGTGTAATCGCGTCGTCCGAAACGCCCATCGCGATTACGTCGACTCGGATGCGGCGGTCATCGAGTCGCGAAATCATCGCGGCCACGCTGAGCGTCGCGTGCGGCCGCGCGATCACGGTCGAGCGGGCGAGGGTTACGTTAGGGCTGCGATTGGGATTTCCTCGCGTAGATTGTGACGGATGGATGAATATGGATATAAAGCGAACCGGAACTCAAGGATTCAGCGCACGAACGAAATATTATTTGCGACTAGAATAGATTTTTAAATTGCACGCTTGTCTCATTTAACCGAGATACGATTCTTGGGGAAATCTCAGCAAATATAACGTATATTACGAAAAAAAAATAAATAGCAGATGCCTGAGAAGGAATAAAAGTAGGCGCTATTAATCATGCGAAGAAATTTTGTAACGTCATTCTTTATCATTTTAAGCAATTTTCTTCACAAAAGATGTGGAAAACCGTCTAGACATAATGACTGTACAAAAGTCAACTAATATGAGACGTAATGCTGGATACTACGAGTCAAGGAGGTGTATCAGATGAAAAAAAAATGCTATAACGAGACGCCCATTTTCCTCGAGTGCAGAGCTTCGTGCAAAGTCATCGTCCTTGTTTTTCTCAATATATACGGTACCGTTGCGTGCATTGTTACGTCTCAATGGATACTCGCACGGAGTTGGCGTAATAATTCGAGCTTGTTAAAGAATACGGATGAAGGGTCTTTCAATACGATTTCCAACACGTACTCCGTAAAATCCGCTTACGAGAAACGTTGTGAGATTCCATCGCGATTATCGGAAAATCTACGCGCGCGTCACGAAACAAGAAATGTAAAATATGAGCTCGCGCGAATAAATCAATATCGGGAGACTTGAACAACCGGTGTCATTCTATGAAAGTAGAAAGATGAATGTATCCTAATGTTTTTCTTCTATCTTAATTTCAAGTTAATATCAATTCTATGATTCTGAATTCTTTAAAATAATTTTTTAAAGCAATATTCGGCAAAGTTAATTTTATTAACAATTATTTATATCTATATATTTATTATATCATTATATTAAATAAACCTTATCCACAAGCTTTTTCAAATACTTCTTCTTTCTTCTCATATCTCTAAGCTTGCTATAAAAGCTGAAGCAAAATATTGAAGATTTGATATATGTTTTCTCATAGAGAAATATTTTAAATTTCAATAAATTGAAATAATTTTTTCCAAGACAAATATATTAATATTATGCACAATTTGTATTTCAACGTGTATCTAAATAAAAAGGACGACACACTGATGTAGCATATTTTTTCCCACAATTACATTCTCGCGGATTTCAGCAAGAAGTCGATCCAACTTCCGTCATTCCCAGCAAAACCGGGGCGAATGATTTCCGTTGGTGATTTAGAACGCATACACACACACGCATCGCGAGCAATATTTAGAAGGAAATCTAGAACGCTCGTATAACAAACCACTTCTTCAATTTTTTTTTTTTTTTTGT